GAAAATCCATAAGAGTGTTGTTTCAAAAAAAACTGAAAATTTGCATATTTCTTCTGTCTTTCTCATTCGACAAAAGCGCTGTTTACGAGATGGAATTTTGCACAGCGAAGGAGATTTCACTCCTAAAATATGATAGCTTTTACTCTGCATATATGCATAGGGAGTGAGATTTGATAGTTTGAGAATAGTATTATTGGAGAATGGTATTTTTTAGTTTATTAGAATGGTATTTCTTAGTTTATTAGAATGGTATTTTTTTTGGAATGTTGCTATTGAAAAAATTTTGCTTGTGGATTTTGCAGCATGCTGCCCAGCAACATACACACTGGCTCGCTTATAGGGTCCACAGTTTTGAAAATTATTTACACATTGTTGCATCTTCCATGTCCGGGACGTGAATGTGGTCCTACTACTACTACTACTACTACATATCAAGCACCATATTTACTGGCGCAAAAAAGAGTAACGTTTCTTCAATTTGAACCTTTCATGTGGAGAGCTTGTTTTCCAAGGAAACTGATGGAGAGTTGTTTTCTAAGGAAAAACCTGATACTCGCAGGATTCGCTACAGAAAACGAGCTCAGGAAACTAATGAAGAATTATTTCTGAGGAAACTGATGCAGAATTGTTTCTAAGGGAAAAACTGATACTCACAGGATTCAGTACAAAAAAAAGCTCATTTTTACGAAAGAAAAATAGTCTATTTTCATTGTTGAGGAATTAATTTTACGTAAAAAATTTAAAGCCAGGTCAGCCCTGAATGCTCTCAGTTAGCTTTACATAAGAAGTATAAATGTAGGAAGTATAAATTTAACAGATGTGAAAATTGGAATTTTTTTGATTTTTTTTTTGGTATTCACTTTTCATGACAGCTAACAAGTTAATATTACTACTGCTACTACTACTGTTGTGATGATCTTCAGTGCTATTACTGTTCCGAATTATTATAATACACCGGGATTCCGGGATCTTTCCAGATGCAGCGATGTATTTTTCTCTTGCTTCTCTTCCTAGGCACGTACGTACAAACACACATTCACTCACTGAGGAGATATGAATGAAATTGCGTAAATTCCTTCTACTTCCTCAATTACATAACGACGTGAGTGCTGTTGCGAGATATACCTCAATTTACTTTGTTTTTTCATAAAATTTTGCGTGTATAGTAAGAATAATAATGAAATTTTCATGAACAGTTAAAGAAAAAACATAGTATATTGTTGTTTTCAAGCACGATTTTTTTTTGTGTGTCCGAGATTGCATATCCGGGATAATCCGGGCTTCTTTTTCGATCAATGAATCCTATTTTTAACTAAAAATGGCTGTGCTAGCGCACGGGTTGGAAAAAGCTAAGAAAGATCTGCAAAAGTCGGAAAATTTGATGAAACTTTTGCTTAGGCTAATACCACCCCCAACGCGTGCTACTCATGTAACTGCTGTGAAATATTCCGGATATGCGAAATCTCTTGGCGTGCGCGCCATGAACTTCTGATCTCGTTAAATCCCTTTTTTTTTCTGAATTTTTTATAAGGCCCAAGCCGATATAAGCAGTGTGAAATCGTTTTTTTGTGTGATGGAGAGCACTCCAAAGTGAATCTCCATTTTTATCAGCTGCCCATCCATTTTATTATCACTGGAAATGCCTATTGCAGCTGTATTGCATCAGTTCTTGAAGACGATAATTATTACGAAAAAATCACTTTTCAGTTGCTGCTCAAAGTGCTGCTCCTGTTGCTGCTGCTGCTGCTCCAACCTATGGGACAGGTGTACCACCAGCAGCTGTTCCACCTCAAATTGCTCCTGGCATGCCGCCTATGGGTGCCTATCCACCAATGATGCCTCCACCAGGTTTGATATTGTCTAATTTCTAGTCGATGTGAAATTTACGAAAAAAAATTCCTTCTTTTGCAGTTTTTTATCGTATATTGTTCACTTTCGCAATACAGCAAAACTGCTTGTCTTGTTGAGTGTACTAGTACTTTCATTTCTCATACCCTCATCCCCACAAAATAAAGCAACAGCAGCCCTTCTCTCCTTCTTCCAAAGTCAAAAAATTAGCACGAAAAACGGATTGGAAACCAACTTCCCCTCTCTCGCCCCAGAAGTCGCACTCTGCTACCGTCCATCGACAGCAAAAGATGCAATGAAACAACCATCCCATCGCACGATGGGGCGGTTGTCGCACAACACAAGGCTATAGCCCCGCCCCCTGCTGCTAGCGCCGCCCCACGCCGCTTGTTCGTCCCATGAGCGATCGGGCTATATTATCTGATAAATTTCCGGGCGTTACTTAGACTGGATGGGACAATGGTCCACCAATACTGGTAACACACAGCAAATGCTCAAGTACTGCACCCAGAAACGGTCGTTACTTGTATATATAAGTGTGCACCGTTGGGAATTGTGCGTTACTCGAACATTGTAAGAGCAGCGCTGGGGTTTACTTGAATCAGCTGCCATTACGCGAACTCCGATGGAATATTACTTGTAATCAGGTTTTTTGGTGCAACAATTCGCTGATTTACTGAAGGGTAGCGAAATTTAATCAGGAAACGAATGCTTAGAGGCTCTCAGGCAGCGGTTTATTATAAGGTCCTACGTTCTAATATTTCGTCTCATTTTCAGATTTCAGTCGAGCACAATTGCTAATTAATTAATAATAGTTTACTTGGGTGTTTCACTCACCCATGCAGCTCCCAATGGTAAAATGGTAGCAGATATAATTTATTACAGCGTTTAAAGAGGATCAACAAGAAAATCTTCTGGATACTGTAGGATCTGTGGTTAGCCAGAAATACGTAATGATATTTCGTATCAAGGCAAATCATCAGGTTTCAGGTTTCCCGATTATGCCACCAATGATGTTTCCACCGCGACCAGGTTACCCACCAATGTTTCCTGGTTTGCCACCTGCATATCCGATGCCAGGAATACCTGTTCCCGGAATGCCACCAGTTGTACCTGCAGCTGTTTCTTCCAGCGGTGATGTAAGATTTTTTCCGAACTAATAAAAGAATCGAAATTTTTGTTAATTCCGTTATGAATTTATACGTTTTGCATTTGTTTCTAGGCGGCAGGATCAGCGGAAGCAGCAGCATGGCAAGAATATACCGCACCGGATGGACGTAAATACTATTATAACAGTCAAACTCAGGAAACAACCTGGGAAAAGCCAAAAGCCCTTGAAGGTTAGCGGGCCGTACATACATTTTCATTTTTAAGTGTTTTTTTTTTTTTTTTTGCATCTATGCGATATGAAAACGCATATTGTCGAGGAGTTGTATGTGTTTTGTTCGTCTCTGCCGATTTTTCATTTCGAAACTTTCAAAAGCTACAAGGCTGAAACTTTGGGAACTTAATCTACATGCACGGGCGAGTCCCTATCTCCAAAATGAACACTGTTGCCCACAGAGAAGAGGAAGGAGGAAGAAAAGGATTTTAGAAAAAGATTTAAAAAAAAGGATTTAAAAAAAAACGATTTTTTTAAAATAAGTTTTTATGACAGTTACACGAAAATCAGTTGACCTTTTTTGACTGCCTCGCCTGTTTTTGGGCATTGCGGCGGGCTGGTTTCACAGGAAATAATTTACTTTATTTGCTCTGGAAGTCGATATACTTCATGATTTTAGCACCTTCTGGCACGGACAATGCTACTGGTGGCGGTGATTCGACAGAAAATAACTCAACTACAGCTGCCAACGAGGCGCAGCAACAAGCTGCAACGCTTGCACAACAACAGGTCAATTTTTCTTCCTTTTTTTTGAGCCACGGAAACTGAGATTCGTTTTTTTTCGGATTGTTTGCTTTTAGCTAAACAAAATCGTTTACTGAATTCTTTTCCTTTTAAAACCAGTCACTCATATAAAACCGGTTCGGTATTATATCTTTTAAAGAAGGTAAAGACACTTTTAGTGTTAGGTCCTCACATGGCCTTTGACTGCAGCAGCGGGGAAAAGCGAAAAGTGCCAGCACTTTATCCTCCAAGAAAAACTTCAAGTAAAAATACGAGCCGGGGCGCCGCACAAGCTATTCAGTTGAGGGGGGATGCTAGTTGTATCTCTAGGCGGCCAGTTAGTAGCGTTAGTTGGGGCGGGGTGTGCCAGACCAGTGACGCGCGTTGAATCCGAGACTAAACCTAAGTTTTCGGAAGGTGTTTATATAGGGAAAATTAATGGAGGGAAAAGGAGGGCAAGGTAGTTAGTGAGTGAGAAGGTAGAAAATATGGAATTATTTAGAATTTGATGGAACTGTTAGAAATTAGTGAGTGGAGGGAAGTAGGTCGAAGTGTTAAGAACTAGTGAGAAGAGGGAAATAGGTTGAATTATAGGGTTACATTAGCACGCTGATGAGGAAAGCTGACAGGAACGGCAACGGACCGGCGATCAAAAAATCAGTGACAAACAGATGAAGTGGGCATGCACCAGCACTAATTTGCCACTGAAAGAAGCTAACGGATTCTGGGGTGTTTTGTTTCCACATGATCTTGTGCCACATGAAGAATCACCCTACCTATTTTTTCCTTTATATCATTACTCCATCTTTTTATTGACTAACCCCACCCTAAGTTAAAATTTTGCAGACTTCAGCCGCTCCACATTTTGTTTGCTTTTGCACCGTTCACTTGATGATTTTTACTGTTTTTTAAGACTTTTTTTTCTACATCAAATTTCTACAGTTCTTCATCAGGTCCTGCATAAAATTTCTACAGTTCTACATCAAATTCTACATTAAATAAGACTTCTTTATCTTCTACAAAATCTACATCAAATTAAATATTTTTCTACAAAGGCTGTCGTTTTTTTCCAAATCAAATCCAAAAGTCTCAATTCTTTTTTTAAGTGAATTATATTAATTTTTTTAAGTTTTGAGTTGTGAATTAGATTATAAATTAAATTAAATTATGAATTAAATGAATAAATGAATTTAAATGAATTAAGTGAATTAAAGTAGTTTTAGATGAAATTTAAATGAATTCTAAATTATAGGTGCAAGCACAGCTGGCAGCAGCGAAAGCAGCTGCTGAGGAAGCGAAGAAACATACGGAGGAACCGGCCAAAGAACCGGAAGTTGTGGCC